AACATTTTTTTTTTTTTTTTTGAAAAGTTCATTTCTGAGGTAGTTGGTACCAGACGAGGGTCTCCTTTGTCATCCTAAATAGATGTCTCAGTGCTCCGCTCTGCCTTTTCTACAGATCAGAAGAAAAACAGTAATGAAAAGTGAACAAATGAAATCAAATAAAACAGGGTCACACATCACTATAAGGGCACCAAATGGTCACTGGCATGGAAGTAATATTTTTTTCTTGTGTTTTGTTATTTTGCCCGAAGCGCAGCTAACTGCATCAACAAAAAAAAGTACGGTCTGCACAGAGCGCTGTGTGGCACAGGAAAGCCAGTCATTTTAATAAAAAAGGACAGTTCTTTTGTGAAAAAGTGCTGAGCCCTTTGCATTCTGGGCAGGCAGAAAAATGTTTAAATAACCTGATTTTTATTCTATCTGATATGTGGTTGTGCGCGTGCTCATGTGCGTGTTAGGGTGTGCTGGTGCTTTAAGAGCATGGAAATCAGGGTCTCCTCCAAGTGATCTCCAGGGAGTTCAGCTGAGTTTGAAGTACAAATGCTGAATTTATTTAACCTCTTGACAAATATGCATATATCTTCCATTCTTTCAGCCTCATTTCCAGAAAGATTTCTCTTAAAGACATCAGGAAGTGTTTTTAATTAAGTTTACTGTCAGAGGCTTTTTTTTGTCCTTGACAAGTTTTAGTTATAGTTTAAAATGACAATATTCATTAAGATTCTCTATGTGCTTACATTTCAGAAAAAGATTGGTGTGTTTGCTACATGCTTTATGATAAAGTGTTAGTTGTATGTCTCTATTATCTGTGAGAAAATAATCACTCACGATAGGCTCATGTTTTACAATAACGTGTGCTGACAGTTGGTGATGATGGGCTTTGAACAAAATCACAGAAATTGCGTTAGAAATCATGCGAGACGTGGAAACTTCTTAAATTGGATGTTGTAAATTGAATTGAGTTTCTTGCTGAAGCTAATAAAGGATGCTAGTGTTACTCCTCATCCCTTATAGTTTTTCATTTCGCCTTCATTCAGTTATTGATTTTCAGGCATAAAAAAAACAATAAGATCAGATGGTTTTGTGGATTTAGAAACCAAAAAACTTGGTTTAAACCTTTAGGAAATAAAGTGTAATTCATCAGTGGTTATCAACCAGTGCGTCACTATCCAAAAATGGATCTGATATGGTTGTTTAGTAGAAACAGACTAAACTGGGCGGATGTTTGCTGTTGCACGTCTTACAATAGGCTAATATCCCAGGCCACTGCTATTACTGAAGCGTTTATTTTGTGTTTCGGGGAGGGAGGTCGTTCTGGATCCACAGCGGTGCCCAGACAAACATTAATCAGCTCCCATTCTCCAAGGACAGGATGATACACTCGAAAGCCAATTAGGTGCATTGAGCAGAACGTAAAACATGAGCAAAAGTGTGTTTACACCTCACCTTTGCTCAAGCAATGTAAATAGTCTCAGATACTGGCCCACACCAGCCGGCCCACATGATGAATCGCACCTCGCCTTCATCTTCAGCCGTTTTTAATGTTCAGCCGGATCTACTGAGCGCACCACTCTCTTTCTCTTCCCTTCCCACTGAAATATTGCCTTTTCCCGCGCTGTAGCTCTCCCCTCAGAATTGAACAAATGAAGAGTCAGCATTCGCAGGTTAATACAATATCAAAGTATGACAAATTGTTCAAAGGCAGGCCAGGCCGAAACACATCTGCATAAAAGCTGACTGGCAGCAGACCGGAGGCTTTTTGATACTATATCTTCAGACTGACAATCCCAGTGGACTTTAATGCATTTTTTTGCATAGCATTATCACCATTCTTTTGCTGTTTTTTTTTTAATGCGCACAGATGAAATGTGGCCCAATTATAGAGGTTTTTGTACAAAGGGAGCAGGTAACCTAGCATGAACTTCGGTCTGTGGTTGTGTGATATTTCTTGCCCTGTAGCACGGAAGTAAAGATGCGCAAGGTGTTTCTCTCAGTAGCTTTGTATATAGGGAATAACGTCATCCTGACACAACATAAAATCCCCTATGGGTTGAAATGTTGATGTATTAAAGTAGATAGAGCAGTTAACATAGCTGCAGGAAAAGAAAATCGCTATAGGGCTTCCCTAAACCTGCTGTACATGGTGCCATGTGGGACATCTTACCCCGTCATTTCTCTGGGGTTGCCACATGTGTCTTATAACTGATTTGTCACTAATGTGAGCTAATTTTTGATCCCCAGATTTTTTAAATCACAATTTTTTAAAACTAATCACTATATAATGATGGTTGAACTTGTTCTATGAGCTAAAATTAATTATAATAAACATATGATGTGATGTGTGATTATGGTGTTACAGAATAATAAAAAAGTTCAGTTCTTATGAAAAAGAAATATGTTTAGATCATAATCATACATAATATTACTGTTTTTGAACAGTGTATTATATAATTAATATTACATATTTAATAATAATTTAAACAATGTTATGTATGATACTGATGTTACAGTGTAATAAAAAAGTTAATGTCTAATCAATAAAAAATATATTAATATATTTACTTTATATTCATACATAACATTACTGTTTTTTCAAGCCAATTTTAGAATGCAGATTATTGGGATATATATAATTAAATAGAATGTATATTATTTTATTCACTTTTTAATAATGCTTATATGTTACACATTATTGTTTTTAACCAGTTCCTGAACACATATTTCTTTTTCAATTATTTATAAAACTTTAAATAAATGTTAATAAATAAGAACTTTGTTTCTGTTCGTGCTGTCATCATGATAATCACATTATTTATAATGATTACAATTGTGTACAAATATAAATAAATATTAACAACTAATAAGAAAAAAAAAACATAAAAACTGAACTTATTTTTTATTATGCTGTAAGCATCATAATCACATTAAAAAGCCCATTTGCAGAATGTAAATGCATGACTATTATGATTATGATTAAATTTTTTGCTAATTCTGTCTAATTGATTCCAGGAGATCCTACAGCACATACAGTGGCTGATAAGGTGATAAGGCCAATTAGAGCTCATTTTTGCCCAGACCTCAGTGTCATCCCCGTTATTGAACACTACGGCAGCAGGTGACAAGGTGAGTAATATCAGGCAGCTGTAAGCCACCAGGGAGGGTGTCTCACACAATTTCTCCCCCCAGAGAGTCGCCCCGCTCCCCTAAGCCACACCGCAGGCTCTGTTAAATGTCAGACACCTCCACAGTTGAAGCCTTAATATCAGACAGCGGGACCGGGACAAAAGATCAACTTGGAGTGCTATGAAAGGATAATAACTATTGTAGCTAAAAATGCTTGCTTTTCTGCTCTAATGAGACAGAGAGCACAGCTTTAAAGCTCACGGTTAAGGCCTAATTAATCACTGTTCGTGGCAGTCTCCTGCGGATATCCATTAGAGTTTTATTTCAGAAGCCACCATGCCTTCAATGGCTCTCCAATTGTTTTGGAGGGTTTTATATTAACCTGAGTGTAGATTGATTGCTCAAGGTATGAATAGAATGCATGCGGAGAAGGATAATGTTCTGCCGTTGTACAATACGGTGCACACAAAAGTCCTGCACAAGTCATGCAGGGTCGTGCATCTACTTTTGAGTGCATTGTGACTGTATCATAGCTGTGTTTGTTGTCTGACATTTTGAAGCCATATTATTTTGCAACAGCTAGCTGAGAGAGCTCAGATATGAAACGAAGCGCTCTACTGTCGTCTATGAGGTGAGAAACGGAGCTCACGACCTCTGTCACATCCAGAGGCCCCCCGCGGACAAACCACAGCACCCTTGATGGGTTCATCCTGGCATAAATTAAAACCGCCGAACGTAAACAGTCTGTTAATTTTCCCCGCTGGCCTGTGGAGGAGGTCTCCATCACGGCTGGATGTTCAGCCTCTAGCTGTGCCGAGGGTGGAAACGGCCAAGAGAGGCGGCCGCCCCTGCTGCGTTCACTACAGGAGGGATGCATACAGATTTAGTTTGCTTAATGAAGGCTAATTGTTTGCGAGGGGATGACAAACACTCGGTCGCGTTGTGTTGTCTAATATGAGCAGGTTCCATGAGTTCAGCTGTCATTCTGTGCTTACTGCTCACAGCGATGGCCTCTCCCTGCCTGCTCTTCTCTGCGGCCCATCGCACACAGTTTGTAGTTGGTTGTTATGCTGTCTGACTTTTATAATTAGAACACAAGGATAACACATGACTTTTGATGCTGCAGTTATAGCCCTTTAAATAATATAGAATATAACAAAAATATTATTGTAAACAGATGATTATTTTTTATTTATACTTTATATTAAATGAAGAAAAAAAAGAGTTAATCATATTCATATGTCATCATATGCTTATTAAATACATAAATAGATTTATTTTATTTTAGTTTTATATATCAAATTAAATGGGGAAAAGTATAATATAAAGTATAGTATAATTTAATATATTATTTAATATATATAAAAAGAGTTATTCATATTCATTAATATCATCATAGTATTAATTATAATAAAATATATAATATATTAATATATAAAAAAGAGTTATTCATTATAATAAAATATATAATATAATGTCATTCTAGTTTTATGTATTTAATTAAATGTTGAAAAATATATTTAATATTTTTATGTAACATTTATAATATTTTTGAGTCTGTGTGTATTATATATGCATATTATATATACCTATAGTTTTATTATATAATAAATTAAATGAGGGAAAATTATTTAGATTTAATATATTTGTATAACATTTATTTTATATTATTTATGTAATAGGGAATCTTATATATGTATATTATATTGGATATACTTAAATATATCTATTGTCTGAAATATGTATCTCTTTAATAAATATATTGTAACTATAATAATAACTTAAATATGTATTAAATATATAAACAGATGATTATTTTAGTTTTATATATTATATTAAATGGGGAAAAAGTTATTTGTATTATATGTAATATATTTATATAGCATTTTATTTTTGTGTAATATGTATATTATATACAGTATATTATGTTGCAAAGTTTTTAGGTTAAACCTTGACCTTTCAGATTTTCAAAATCCATTCCTCTATCACATTCTCTGAATGTCCACTCATCTCTTCGATGCTTACGTAAGTGAAAACTTTTGCACTAGGCAAATGGGAAAACAGGGTTCAGGTACAGTACGTCTTGGCTTAACATCCCAGACCTCATTAATGCAACTTCCTACAGTACATTCAGGAAGAAAATAGGCTTGATGCATGGCACAGCTCAGCTGGGTCTGGATCAGGCCGTGGGTTCAGGGGTTGGGTGGGAACATGTGCCAGTCACAAATGCGTTACATACTGTACATAATGTGAGGATAGAGGCTTACAGACAACTCGAGAGCAGAAAATCGTCTGTTTACTGAACGGGTTGAAGGGTAATGTTTAAGCGTCCTGAAGCTGTCTAATGAGTGACATTTAACCACCTTTGTTTGCTTAACATAATCAGACTGAGGCTTTGATTACATTAGACAATGATTATTATAGCTGTTTGTTTGATTGCTTGTTTCTGTAGTTCTAAATGACAACTGCACACAGATATGATGTTAAAAATTTGCTTCCTAATGTGATGTATTTGAATATACAAATTCAAATAATCTGAGTTTTTTTCATGATAACTGAGGTCTAGGTGCTATGTAACTACCACAGCATACATGACCCTAGTTACCTGTGGTTGGCCTGGCCGTGCGTCACTCAGAAAACAACAGGCCAATCAGAAGAGAGGCTCATGAATATTAATTAGACAGGCCAAAATCGACCTGTTCTAAGCAGAGCTCCTGAGAGAGGAGCTGTAAAAATATATTGAGATGGTTTTTGGTACTTATACTGCAAATATATATTCTTAAGGACATCAAGACTTAAAGCTGCAGTCCGTAAGTTTGCCTCTTTGTCACCATCTCTGTTTGAAAACCTGGAATTGCAGTTACTTGCAGAATTATCTTGCTTGTGTGGGTTGTACTCTGGCACGGCTCCAGTGCGGATGAATCTAATGTTTTGAGGAGTATGTGTGGCAGTCAGTCACCGCACCGATGTGAATCCTATACTTAGTAATCACAGATTCTAGCCTACGTCTTGGAATATATGACAAAAATAAGAATTTTCACCGGATATTGTCTTCTGAACAAGTAAGTAACAAGTCTGCCACGTTTGTTCTGACCAACTGTCTTTAAAATACAAATCTTGTGTAATCCCAGGCTATCTGTAATCAGAAGCACATGTAAAACTGGAATATAATTTAATTATATTAAATTATATAATTAAATCCTTTTGTGGGGGGAATCCTACAAAAACAAAAATCTAACTTTTCTGTGAAGTTGTTATACCCTGTGTGAGCAAAGTCAGTAAGTAGTCCAATGTGATAACATTAACATTAAATAGCATTTTCAGGAAAATGAAAATCCTCTCTGGGTCCAAATGACCAGAACACAATGTGAGGGATATATAGTTCATGAATCATATGGACTACTTTTATGATAACGGTTGTTTTATTTTGTATTTATTTATTTTTATATCTTGACAGTGCCCGTTCCATTTACGTCCATTGTATTTACATACAGGAGAGCTTTATCAAAGACATTTAGCAAAAGTTAGTTTTGAATGATAAGAGGATGAGTAAATAATGACGGGAATTTCATTTTTTGGTGAACTATATTTAATTCATCTTCCTCCACATATTTTTGTCTTCATCCTCTTCTGTTTTCTCTTCCTTCACAATTAATTTTGCTTATTTGAATTTTTCCCCCTCCATTTTCCCTTCTTTTTCCACTGTTGTTTTGTTTATGAATATCTTCCTGTCAGGAAATTGCACAAAGCATTACTATTCTCATTTCCAATTAAATTGTCATGGCCCAAATAGTTCAAAATCAGTTTCTTGGTTCAGGCTTCTCAAGTGAAGGCATCTATGCATAGTCGGTTGCTTTTCAAGGCTTTTGCTGTGCATTCAACCTCGCGGTGCATAACTCACCTCTTTATAGAGGCAGGGGGGAGCCATGATATGCATCTGAACCTAATTTTCAGCTGTGCATAAACACAGGCACATCGTTTGACTATCAACCATAATTTGATTGCGCCCATCCAGGAAAATTGCAGCATTTTTCACTCTTGAGTGATACATAAAGCGATTGAACCTCAGTGCAAACTGCTAATTTAATTGCATCATGTATGTTCTGTTTGCAAACGGCCTCTAGCATGTGCGCCGCCGTTAATAACAGCTGAACATATTGTGGATATTTACAGGCGTTTGATTGGCTGAGAGCTGAAGAGGAAATGAGATTCATGACAGCTCGTTCACAGGATTGTACTGTGAAAAACAAACACCAGTATAGAGTTTGACATGAACAACTGGATATTATAGATGTCGCCACACTGGATTCGCTAAGGGTAATTCCTGGCATGTTTCTTTAAGAGGACGGTTGGTCGGTGTTGAGCTATAAATGCATTAGTATATGGCGTGTCACAAAGATGCCGTAAAACAACACATTTGATTTCCATACGTGAAGTGGCTGGATGAGCAGAGAGGCTGCAAATGCTCAGCGCTCCATGAATGTGTGTCATGCTTTTTCTTGGGGGCTGTTGAGAAAAGAGCATGTACGCACACATTCATTATGTCTTAACACATGGGTAAGCTTCAACCCCCTCAAGAAAGGCTTTTCCTTTCTCTATTGTATGGAATGGCCAAGTGGAGATGAGTGTTCAGAGTCCAAAAAAAGAGCTGCCAAGGATGTGTGTGTGTGTGTGTTAGCATGTACCGTTCTCTTTGTTTATCTATACGTGTGTGTGTTTTCATGAATATGGAACTTCGTTTATGGATGGTGCACTATTACAGGTTAAGATAGAGCCCAACTCCCCAGAAACACCATGTCAGTATGGATTAGAGAACTTCTGTTTTGCCAAAAGGGAAAAAAGTGTTCCCACTATGCGCAATTACAATAAGCAAACAGCCTTGAGCCACGAGAGAAAGAAGGGGAGAGCGCAGAACAGATGGTGCAGAGGAGTAGGTTTGGGAACCACGAAATGATTCCCATTTAGAATCAGTCCCATTAAAGAAAAAACAAAAATTGTATGTCTTTTTATGACATTTTTTATGGCTCTCAATTCCGTTGATAGTTGTTAAACTTCTTCCACCAGTGTAGTACAAATAACTGACTCTTATGAGTCGGTTCTTTTTAGTGAATCAAAATCATACAGCGCCACTAGTACAGCCACAACCCTGAAAGAATGACTCGTATGAGTAGGCTATTTAAAAAAAAAAAAAAAAACATATTATGCAACCAGTATAGTGTGATACTAAATAAATGACTCTTATGAACAAGTTATTTTTAGTGAATCAAAAACATACCGCACAGCCTGTGTATAAATAACCAATTCCTGAATAAATGACTCGGTTGGTT